GCACCAGCTTCCTCGTATGGGACGTAGGTGGACAGGAGAAGCTACGCCCACTGTGGCGTTCCTACACCCGCTGCACGGACGGCATAGTGTTCGTGGTGGACTCTACGGACACGGAAAGGATGGACGAGGCTAAAATGGAGCTGCTGAGGACCGTGAGGACCCCGGATAACCACCACGTCCCCATCCTGGTCCTAGCCAACAAGCAGGATCTCCCGGGAGCCAAGGATGCCACTCAGGTGAGTACCTCACATCTGTGCTTACGTTACTCAGGTCACGCCTCCGCCACTCTCAGTATTCCCTGACAACTCTGCACTCTTTGGTTGCAGCAGTTGCAAAGAAAGGTGAACCTGTGATATAGTAATTGTCTCACCTATCTCCTAACATGTTAGTTTACTTGTACCCACAACTGTCTAACACACTAGTATCCCTATACACCTAACTCCCTAGTATCTCTATACATCTAACACCCTAGTATTTTGCCTGGTGTGTACGCCTGTCCTGTATGTTGCGTCATGCACCTAACTTCAGTAATAAGTGAACTCGTGTGAGTACTGCAAGATGCTAGAACTTTCTTCCTTTCTCAGCCTGCTCTCTGACCAACCAGGCTGTTGGTGACCCCTCCACTAATCAACACACTGTTTTCCTGCAGGTGGAGAAGAGCCTGGGGCTGCGGGAACTGGGACCTGCCCAGCTCTTCCACGTTCAGCCGTCCTGCGCCATCATAGGAGACGGACTGGCCGACGGCCTGGAGTGTCTCTACGAGATGATCTGTAAGAGGAAGAAAATCAGCAGAAGCGGTCACAAGAACAGCAAGAGGAGGTGATGAGCGGTGTGTGTAGCGACCATCACTCTCCTCCATGATGATGCTGTGTGTGTGTGTGTGTGTGTGTACTCACCTATTTGTACTCACCTAGTTGAGGTTGCAGGGGTCGAGTCCAAGCTCCTGGCCCCGCCTCTTCACTGGTTGCTACTAGGTCACTCTCCCTGAACCTTGAGCTTTATCATACCTCTGCTTAAAGCTATGTATGGATCCTGCCTCCACTACATCGCTTCCCAAGCTATTCCACTTCCTGACTACTCTGCGGCTGAAGAAATACTTCCTAACATTCCTGTGATTCGTCTGTGTCTTCAACTTCCAACTGTATCCCCTTGTTGCTGTGTTCAATCTTTGGAACATCCTGTCTTTGTCCACCTTGTCAATTCCTCTCAGTATTTTGTATGTCGTTATAAAGTCCCCCCTATCTCTCCTGTCCTCCAGTGTGGTCAGGTTGATTTCCCTTAACCTTTCCTCGTAGGACATCCTCTTAGCTCTGGGACTAGTTTTGTTGCAAACCTTTGCACTTTCTCTAGTTCCTTTTACGTGCTTGGCTAGGTGTGGGTTCCAGACTGGTGCCGCATACTCCAATATGGGCCTAACGTACACAGTGTACAGGGTCCTGAACGATTCCTTATTAAGATGTCGGAATGCTGTTCTGAGGTTTGCTAGGCGCCCATATGCTGCAGCAGTTATTTGGTTGATGTGCGCTTCAGAAGATGTACCTGGTATTATACTCACACTAAGATCTTTTTCCTTGAGTGAGGTTTGTAGTCTCTGGCCCCCTAGACTGTATTCTTTCTGCGGTCTTCTTTGCCCTTCCCCAATCTTCATGACTTTGCACTTGGTGGGGTTGAACTCCAGGAGCCAATTGCTGGACCAGGTCTGCAGCCTGTCCAGATCCCTTTGTAGTTCTGCCTGGTCTTCGATCGAATGAATTCTTCTCATCAACTTCACGTCATCTGCAAACAGGGACACTTCAGAGTCTATTCCTTCCGTCATGTCGTTCACAAATACCAGAAACAGCACTGGTTCTATGACTGACCCCTGTGGGACCACGCTGGTCACAGGTGCCCACTCTGACACCTCGCCACGTACCATGACTCGCTGCTGTCTTCCTGACAAGTATTCCTTGATCCATTGTAGTGCCTTCCATGTTATCCCTGATTGGTCCTCCAGTTTTTGCACTAATCTCTTGTGTGGAACTGTGTAAAAACGCCTTCTTGCAGTCCAAGAAAATGCGATCCACCCACCCCTCTCTCTCTCTTGTCTTACTGCTGTCACCATATCATACAACTCCAGTATGTTTGTGACACAGGATTTCCCGTCTCTGAAACCATGTTGGCTGCTGTTGATGAGATCATTCCTTTCTAGGTGTTCCTCCACCACTCTTCTCCTGATAATCTTCTCCGTGACTTTGCATACTATACATGTCAGTGACACTGGTCTGTAGTTTAGTGCTTCATGTCTGTCTCCTTTTTTAAAGATTGGGACTACATTTGCTGTCTTCCATGCCTCAGGCAATCTCCCTGTTTCGATAGATGTATTGAATATTGTTGTTAGGAGTACACATAGCACCTCTACTCCCTCTCTCAGGACCCACGGAGAGATGTTATCCGGACCCATTGCCTTTGAGGTATCTATCTCACTCAGAAGCCTCTTTATTTCTTCCTCGGTTGTGTGTACTGTGTCCAGCACTTGGTGGTGTACCCCACCTCTCCGTCTTTCTGGAGCCCCTTCTGTCTCCTCTGTGAACACTTCTTTGAATATCTTGTTGAGTTCCTCACATCACGGTAATTTCTTGTTGCATCTCCTTCTTCCTTCCATAGCCTGATTACCTGGCCCTTGACTGTTGTTTTCCTCCTGATGTGGCTGTATAACAGCTTCGGGTCAGATTTGGCTTCGCTGCTATGTCGTTTTCATATTGTCTTTGGGCCTCCCTTCTTATCTGTGCATATTCATTTCTGGCTCTACGACTGCCCTCCTTATTCTCCTGGGTCCTTTGCCTTCTATATTTCTTCCATGCCCTAGCACACTTGGTTTTTGCCTCCCTGCACCTTTGGGTGAACCATGGGCTCATCCTGGCTTTTTCATTATTCCTGTTACCCTTGGGTAACAGGCTTCCCTGCCAGTTCTCTGTCCCACTGAACCCAGTTCAGGAAGTTCCTCATTCCCATGTAGTCCCCTTTCTTGTAGTTTGGCTTCATTCGCCCTGGTCTTCCTGCTTCCCCCTCCACTTGTAGCTCTACTGTGTATTCGAAGCTTAAAACCACATGATCGCTGGCCCCAAGGGGTCTTTCATATGTGATGTTTTCAATATCTGCACTGCTCAAGGTGAATACTAGGTCCAGTCTTGCTGGTTTACCCTCTCCTCTCTCTTTTTGTAGTGTCCCTTACGTGTTGGTACATGAAGTTTTCCAGTACCACCTCCATCATCTTAGCCCTCCATGTATCTTGGCCCCCATGTGGCTCCAAGTTCTCCCAATCGATTTCCTTGTGGTTAAAGTCACCCATGATCAGGAGCTTTGCCCTGCATGCATGAGAGCTCTTCTGGCCACTGCAGCCAGGTGTGTGTGTGTGTGTGTGTGTGTGTGTGTGTGTGTGTGTGTCGTGTGTGTGTGTGTGTGTGTGTGTGTGTGTGTGTGTGTATGTGTGCGTGTGTGTGTGTGTGTATGTGTGTGTGTGAGTGTGAGTGTGTGTGTAGTGTGTGTGTAGCATATGTGTAGTGCTACCCAGCTGTGTGCAGCGTGTGTGTTGTGTTACCCAGCTGTGTGTAGCATGTGTTGTGCTACCCAGCTGTCTGTAGAGTGTGTGTAGTGCTATCCAGCTGTCTGTAGTGTGTGTGTAGTGCTACCCAGCTGTCTGTAGAGTGTGTTTAGTGCTACCCAGGTGGTGTGGGTAGCGTGTGTGTAGTGAGCGTGTAGTGCTACCGGGGTGTGGGTAGCGTGTATGTAGTTCTACCGAGGTGTGGGTAGCGTGTGTGTAGTGCTACCCAGCAGTGGGTAGCGTGTGTGTAGTGCTACCCAGCAGTGGGTAGCGTGTAAAAACATAAGATTAATAAATTTTATATCTGAGTACATTATATGTGTGAGTACATTTTCCTTGTGTTTGGTTCAGATGGGAACCTGTGAGGTTATTGGTGAAGTTATTACTCCATATGTCGTGGTATATTATGACTTGATCACCTTTGTTGTTGGTGTTGTTGTTGTTGTTGTTGGTGGTGGTGGTAGTGGTGATGGTGGTGGGGTGGTTGTGGGGTGGTGGTGGTGGTGGGTGGTGGTGTGGTGGTGGTGGTGGTGTAGTGTGGTGGTGGTGTAGTGGTGGTGGTGGTGGTTGTGGGGTGGTTGTGGGGTGGTGGTGGTGGTGGTGTAGTGGTGGTGGTGGTTAGTGGTGGTGGTGGTGGTTGTGGGGTGGTTGTGGGTTGGTGGTAGTGGTTGTGGGGTGGTTGTGGGGGGTGGTAGTGGTGATGGTGGTGGTTGTGGAGTGGTTGTAGGGTGGTGGTGATGCAGTGGTGGTGGTGGTTGTGGGGTGGTTGTGGGGTGGTGGTGGTGGTGGTGGTGGTGGTGGTGGTGTAGTGGTGGTGGTGATTGGGGGTGGTTGTGGGTTGGTGGTGGTGGGTGATGGTGGTGGTGGTGGTTGTGGGGTGGTTGTGGGGGTGGTACTGGTGATGGTGGTGGTTGTGGAGTGGTTGTAGGGTGGTGGTGAAGCAGTGGTGGTGGTGGTTGTGGGGTGGTGATGGTGATGGTGGTGGTGGTTGTGGGGTGGTGGTGGTGTAGTGGTTGTGATGGTGAGATGGTGGTGGTGTGTGGTGGTGGTGATGTGGTGGTGGTGGTTGTGGGGTGGTTGTGGTGGTGGTGTTGGTGGTTGTGGGGTGGTGGTGGTGGTGGTGTTGTTGTTGTTGTGGTGGTGGTGGTGGTGGTGGTGTCGTGGTGGTGCCGTGGTGGTGTCGTGATGGTGTCGTGGTGGTGGTGGTAGTGCTGGTAGTGCTGGTGGTAGTGCTGGTAGTAGTGGTGTTAGTGCTGGTAGTGCTGGTAGTGCTAGTGATACTATTGGTGGTATTGCTGGTAGTGGTGGTGGTAGTGTTGGTAGTGGTGGTGGTAGTGTTGGTAGTAGTGGTGGTGATAGTGCTGGTAGTGGCGGAGGTATTGCTGTAGTGCTGGTAGTGGTGATGATAGTGGTGGTGGTAGTGCAAGTAGTAGGGTGGTAGTGCTGGTAGTGGTGGTCGTAGTGTGTAGTGTTTGTAGTGGTGACGATAGTAGTGCTGGTAGTGGTGGTGGTAGTGCTGGTAGTGGTGGTGGTAGTGCTGGTAGTGATGGTGATAGTGCTGGTAGTGGTGGTGGTAGTGCTGGTAGTGCTGGTAGTGGTGGTGGTAGTGCTGGTAGTGGTGGTGGTAGTGGTGGTGGTGGTGCTGGTAGTGGTGGTAGTAGTGGTGGTGGTGGTGCTGGTAGTGGTGGTGGTAGTGCTGGTAGTGGTAGCGGTGGTGCTGGTATTGGTGGTACTAGTGGTGGTGTGGTGCTGGTAGTGGTGGTGGTAGTGCTGGTAGTGGTAGTGGTAGCGGTAGTGCTGGTAGTACTGTTACTTCCCAGTCACTTCTCGTACACTCACTTCCGTTCTCTTAAGTTCCTGGTTCAGTATAGTTGCTGCACCTTGTGCTGTTTGGTTGTAACATTCACTGTTTGGTTGCAACATGCACTGTTTGGTTGCAACATGCGCTGTTTGGTTGCAACATGCACTGTTTGGTTGTAACATTCACTGTTTGGTTGCAACATGCACTGTTTGGTTGCAACATGCGCTGTTTGGTTGCAACATGCACTGTTTGGTTGTAACATTCACTGTTTGGTTGCAACATGCACTGTTTGGTTGCAACATTCACTGTTTGGTTGCAACATGCACTGTTTGGTTGTAACATTCACTGTTTGGTTGCAACATGCACTGTTTGGTTGCAACATGCGCTGTTTGGTTGCAACATGCACTGTTTGGTTGTAACATTCACTGTTTGGTTGCAACATGCACTGTTTGGTTGCAACATGCGCTGTTTGGTTGCAACATGCACTGTTTGGTTGTAACATTCACTGTTTGGTTGCAACATGCACTGTTTGGTTGCAACATGCGCTGTTTGGTTGCAACATGCACGTTTGGTTGTAACATTCACTGTTTGGTTGCAACATGCACTGTTTGGTTGCAACATTCACTGTTTGGTTGCAACATGCACTGTTTGGTTGTAACATTCACTGTTTGGTTGCAACATGCACTGTTTGGTTGCAACATTCACTGTTTGGTTGCAACATGCACTGTTTGGTTGCAACATGCGCTGTTTGGTTGCAATATGCACTGTTTGGGTGAAACATGCGCTGTTTGGGTGCAACATGCACTGTTTGGTTGCAACATGCACAGTTTGGTTGCAACATGCACTGTTTGGTTGTAACATGCGCTGTTTGGTTGCAACATGCACTGTTTGGATGCAACATACACTGTTTGGTTGCAACATGCGCTGTTTGGTTGCAACATGCGCTGTTTGGTTGCAACATGCGCTGTTTGGTTGCAACATGCGCTCTTTGGTTGCAACATGCACTGTTTGGGTGCAACATACACTGTTTGGTTGCAACATGCGCTGTTTGGTTGCAACATACACTGTTCCGTTGCAACATGCGCTGTTTGGTTGCAACATACACTGTTTGGTTGCAACATGCGCTGTTTGGTTGCAACATGCGCTGTTTGGTTGCAACATGCACTGTTTCGGTGCAACAAACACTGTTTGATTGCAACATGCGCTGTTTGGTTGCAACATACACTGTTTGGGCGCAACATGCGCTGTTTGGTTCCATTTGGGTGCAACATACACTGTTTGGGTGCAACATACACTGCTTGGGTGCAACATGCGCTGTTTGGTTGCAACATGCACTGTTTGGGTTCAACATACACGGTTTGGGTGCAACATACACTGTTTGGGTGCAACATACACTGTTTGGGTGCAACATACACTGTTTGGGTGCAACATTCACTGTTTGGGTGCAACATACACTGTTTGGGTGCAACATACACTGTTTGGGTGCAACATACACTGTTTGGTTGCAACATGCACTGTTTGGTTGCAACATGCACTGTTTGGTTGCAGTATGCACTGTTTGGTTGCAATGTGCACTGTTTGGTTGCAATGTGCACTGTTTAGTTGTAACATGCGCTGTTTGGTTGCAATATGCACTGTTTGGTTGCAACATGCACTGTTGCTTGCAACATGCACTGTTTGGTTGCAACATGCACTGTTTTGTTGCAACATGTGCTGTTTGGTTGCAACATGCACTGTTTGGTTGCAATATGCACTGTTGGTTGTAACATACGCTGTTTGGTTGCAATATGTACTGTTTGGTTGCAACATGCACTGCTTGGTTGCAGTATGCGCTGTTTGGTTGCAACATGCACTGTTTGATTGCAATATGCACTGTTGGTTGTAACATGCGCTGTTTGGTTGCAATATGCACTGTTGGTTGTAACATGCCCTTTTGGTTGCAATATGCACTGTTGGTTGTAACATGCGCTGTTTGGTTGCAACATGCACTGTTTGGTTGCAACATGCAATGTTTGGTTGCAGTATGCGCTGTTTGGTTGCAACATTCACTCTTTGATTGCAATATGCACTGTTTTCTGTAACATGCGCTGTTTGGTTGCAATATGCACTGTTGGTTGTAACATGCGCTGTTTGGTTGCAATATGCACTGTTGGTTGTAACATGCGCTGTTTGGTTGCAATATGCACTGTTGGTTGTGTAACATGCGCTGTTTGGTTGCAATATGCACTGTTTGGCTGCAATATGCACTGTTGGTTGCAACATGCGCTGTTTGGTTGCAATATGCACTGTTTGGGTGAAACATGCGCTGTTTGGGTGCAACATGCACTGTTTGGTTGCAACATGCACTGTTTGGTTGCAACATGCACTGTTTGGTTGCAACATGCGCTGTTTGGTTGCAACATGCACTGTTTGGATGCAACATACACTGTTTGGTTGCAACATGCGCTGTTTGGTTGCAACATGCGCTGTTTGATTGCAACATGCACTGTTTGGTTGCAACATGCGCTGTTTGGTTGCAACATGCACTGTTTGGATGCAACATATACTGCTCGGTTGCAACCTGCGCTGTTTGGTTGCAACATGCGCTGTTTGGTTGCAACATGCACTGTTTGGGTGCAACATACAATGTTTGGTTGCAATATGCGCTGTTCGATTGCAACATGCGCTGTTTGGTTGCAACATGCACTGTTTGGGTGCAACATACACTGTTTGGTTGCAACATGCGCTGTTTGGTTGCAACATGCACTGTTTGGGGGCAACATACACTGTTTGGGCGCAACATACACTGTTTGGGTGCAACATACACTGTTTGGGTGCAACATTCACTGTTTGGGTGCAACATACATTGTTTGGGTGCAACATACACTGTTTGGGTGCATCATACACTGTTTGGTTGCAACATACACTGTTTGGGTGCAACATACACTGTTTGGTTGCAACATGCGCTGTTTGGTTGCAACATGCACTGTTTGGATGCTACATATACTGTTTGGTTGCAATATGCGCTGTTTGGTTGCAACATGCGCTGTTTGGTTGCAACATGCACTGTTTGGATGCAACATATACTGTTTGGTTGCAACATGCGCTGTTTGGTTGCAACATGCGCTGTTTGGTTGCAACATACACTGTTTGGATGCAACATATACTGTTTGGTTGCAACATACGCTGTTTGGTTGCAACATGCACTGCTTGGGTGCAACATACACTGTTTGGTTGCAACATACACTGTTTGGTTGCAACATGTGCTGTTTGGTTGCAACATACACTGTTTGGTTGCAACATACACTGTTTGGTTGCAACATGCGCTGTTTGGGTGCAACATACACTGTTTGGTTGCAACATGCGCTGTTTGGTTGCAACATACACTGTTTGGTTGCAACATACACTGTTTGGGTGCAACATACACTGTTTGGTTGCAACATACACTGTTTGGTTACAACATACACTGTTTGGGTGCAACATACACTGTTTGGTTGCAACATACACTGTTTGGGTGCAACATACACTGTT